CAGAACTCAGGGATGGCGTGGAACAGCTCCTGCCACTGAGCACTGCTGGTCCAGGAGGGCATGGGGGGCATGTGCGCCTGGACCTGCATGGGGTTGGGGCGGGGCCAGGGCTGCATTGCACTCTGCTCTAGGTGGGCGCAGTGGCACTGGGAGCGGGGGCTCTGCCCTCCTGCTGCTTGCCCAGCCCCAATCCCTTCCTCACTGCAGGGTATTGATCTGCCCTTCCATGCCACTTCCCTCCCCCTTCCCCCCCACAACAGACTTACCAGCTAGACACAGCTGTGTCGAGCATGGTAAAGGAACGAATCCCCCATTTGTAACATTGTTCCTGTGGGAAAATTGGTTCTGAGTTACCACGTTTTGACTTATGACCTGATTTTCAGGAACCAATTATGTCGTAAGTCTGAGGACTGCCTGTAATTGCTTCCCTTGATCTACTGGCAATGCTCCTACTAATGCAGCCCAGTATGCTGTTAGTTATCTTGGCAACAAGGGCACACTGTTGACTCATGTTCAGTTCATTGTCCACTGTAACCCCCAGGTCCTTTTCTGCAGAGCTGCTGCTTAGCCAATCAGCTTCCAGCCTGCACTGGTGCGTGGGATTGTTCTATCCTAAGTGCAGGACTTTACACTTGCCCTTATTGAACCTCCTGAGATTTCTTTTGGTCCAATAATCCAATTTGTCTAGGTCTCCCTGAATCCTAGGCCTACCTTCCAGCACATACTCCCCCAATTTGGTGTCATCTGCGAACTTGCTGAAAGTGCACTCCCTACCACCTTCCAGACTACTAATGAAGATCCACTGATATCTATTGGCCTCCATTATGAACTTACTTGGGATCATGAGGTGGGCCTTCCTCCCTGACAATCTCATACGACACCTTTAATCCATGTGCTTGACAATATTCATTAAGCTTTTTCTTGGATGCCATTTCGACCCAATCTGCAAGGGGGGAAAATTGACAATGAATGTGTATTTTTAGCATTTGTCTCTGCCCCAAGAAAATAAGAAAGCAAACACAGAGATGGCAGACCTATAATTCAAGTGTAGACACAGATCCAGGAAGTGTTTATGAGCATAAAGAATTATAGGCTGTTTTGCTACAAAATATGTGTTGCATGCTAAAAGAGGTGTGTCAAGCAGCTTAGAAATGGCCAAGCATGCCAGAGAGAGGAGGCAGAGAGGAAGTGAGGTTCAAGAAATATGGTCACCCTAAGTCAGCGGTTCCCAATGTAGTGCCTGCTGGTGCCATCACGCCCCCCGAAGCTTATTCAGGTACCTGCCTGCATTTTCCCGATCAGTAAAATTAATTATTCCAACAAAAAATGTTGTCATATTGATGCCCACTGCTTTTTCTTTTAAATGTGAATGTGCCCTTGGGCACATAAACGTTGTGAATCCCTGCCCTAAGTAATGAAGGATCCACATTTTTTTCTTTCACCCGCCCCCTCCTTCTAGCAGCAATCTGTGGGGTGGGAGCAGGGCCAGACACAGGCATGGGCAAACTGGGAGACTACCCATGGCCCAGGCAGAAAGGGGGCCCAAAAATGGTAATTTTTTGATTATTACTATCAAGATCTCTGGCAAAGGGGGACTAAAAGTTTGCTCTGGGCCGCCAAGAGCCTAGGTAGGGTGGGAGGGAGGAAAAAATTCGTATTAAAACTTTTTGGAAGCTTGGACTCCAGCTGCCATGCGGGGACTGGGGGCCAGATCTGGGCCTGTCTGGGGGAGATGAGGACCTTACAGCATAACCCCCAAACATCCCCTTCCCCAAAGAAGGCAGGGCACGTTGTGGGCACAGCGGGCGACCCCTGGCTTTACCTGTGGGAAGTGTGGGCGCTAGGTCTGCGCTGGTCAGCGGGATGTAGAGGTCAGAGGATGGCTCTGCCCGGGGGCTTGGACGATCTGGCCTCAGGCAGGGGCTGCACCACACGCCAGCCCTGGAGGGCGCTTCCAGCTGCTGTCCCACTGCCTGCCTCCCGCTGGATCCTGCCGAAAAGCTCCTCACGCAGCTGCCGCCTGGACTAGAAGAGGGCCAAACCTTGAGCAGTATGCTTCCTACAGGATCCCCAACCCGGGGAGGGCGAGGAAGTGGTGTCTTCCCCACTGCTTCCGGGGGACCCGCTCCTTGCATCCCGCCTGCCCGCTCTCGGCTTTGCACCACTCGCCGCCGTCTGCAGCCGCCTAGTTTCGTTTCCCGGCGCCGCGCCGGGAATCGAAAGCGAAGGCGCGGGGAGCGGCGCGCTGCGCCCGGCCTCGCACGAGCTAGGAGCTCTCGGGGGCGCGCCGGGCAAGCGGAGCCTGGGCGAAGGCACGCGGAGCCCGGGGGCATTATTGGCCCGTCAGGGCCGGATCAGCGCCGGGCCCTAAGTGAAGAAGTGCTTATTTTTACGTATTGGA